TAAAGTTCTAAAATAATCAGAAATACAATTTAAAATATACTGAAAAATGCTCCTTTTCCCATCGGCACTGAGATGAAGCCCATCAGCAGCAGAGGACTGAGCAATCGGCTGCTTATTCTTTAGAAGCACTCTGTTGCTCCTGAGGAACTGCACATGGTCCATCTGAGAAGGGAGATGTGAAAGAACTAGAGGGACATGATCAGATTTCCCCTGACTCAACAAAAAATATATATTTTTTGTATATCTAAGCTTTTCCAACTGTTCTTGCAATTCATCAATACTCTTCTCTGGCTGTGCCTTTTCCTTTTCTGACTCACTTTTCTCCTGTTCATTCAAAATGACTGCCTGCTCACACTCCACAACTTTTTGCTCAAGTGTCAGAATTTTACTATCCCTGCGTCTAAGCCTTTTATTCACATTCCTAACACTTCCATGTCCTAACTTTTCATTTGCCTTGCTTAATTTATTTGAGAGCTTGAATTTCAGTTTCAGCCATATAAAGCATAAGTCCTCTCTCTTTTTTTCTTGTCTAACCTAGCTCTTTCATCATCTAGTTTCCTGCATTCTTCCATTAATCTATGCACATTTTTGAACTGTGCTCCTAATTTGCTAACTACCTCATTAGTGTACTTTACATCACTTAATTCACTCGTTCCTGATCTTACATCACAAGCAGAGCTAGTGCTAGCTGTTTGCTGTGCATTTTCTGCAGCTGAAATTTCACTGCTCTCCTTTCTTACTGGGGGCAGAGCAACGTTCTGGTGGTCAAAATCTTCCCTTTCACTTTTTCTTAAGCAGGATTTCTTATTAATGATCCTCTGTACATACAAACAAATCACTCGCTGAAAATATTCTTTTTCCTGTTCATTTCTTAGACCTAGGTTGAAATTATGATTTAAGATATCAAAGATATCAGCATTGTTTCCTATTTGATTTTTTGGCTTCGGAAAATTTGTAGATCTCCATCATCGCTCTGTTCGTCAAGATTTTAACATCTAGTTTTAACTCTACATCTATCCCTAATTCCTCGAAGTAGCTACTGATGTATTGCTTCCCCTTACCACCAAGGCACACAAGCATTTTCTCTGGATTCATTTTTTTTTCTTTCTCAGGGTCTCTCTCATTCGCTGCGGCTTGGCACCAGAGCGGTTAACGATGGCGACAAGTCAGGCACCCAGAGGGAGGGGGAGGAGGGGCGTCTTCCTGCCTCCGTTACTAAAATGCCAAATAGGAGTGGCTTAAGCGACATACACAGTCGTGTAAGTGACAGTTTGAGGTAGCCTGTCGTGTAGATTTCACTTTGTTGGTGATAGGTTAAGCTTTCGAAACTCAGCCCCAAAGTCATGTGACTGATTTTTCACCGTTTCATTGGTTAAATGCAATGATCACAAGCACCACCATGGTAATTGGGATGTGTAGCTTTTAATTCAGTTTGAATTACACTGTACGTACTGTCTTCGTATTTAGCCAGGGCTTTAAAGAGAGGGCGCGCCAAAAATTTTCGGTTCCGTCGTCTCCGCTTTAAAGGTACCCATGTCCTGGAACGTTTGCCCAGCGTACGGTAGTAAGCCCTGACATTCCATCTAAAAGATGGAGATCGAGGAGACTTACTTAGGGGGAAACACAGTGACAGACAAGATTTGAACTGGGAACTTTCTGACTAGTCTTTCTCCTTGATCACATAGCCCTTTTGATAGGAGCTTATCCCCGGTGATATTGGGGTGCCATTCCGTCTAGTGTGGACAAGAGGAACGGGTAAGTGTATGAGTCAGGACTGCATCTCCTATTGGTCCTGTGATGTCAGTCTTTCTTACAATTACTCTGACCTTTGATCTGTTATTATTGATTCATTCAGTTTCTCTTCAGGTGAGTTGAATTCATTCTTATTAAACACGGGAGACAAGCTCAACAGTTCCAACCGTAGTTCACTCGTTGATCAGGTGAGCATTCCCGGCGGGGTACCAGCGGTTCACAAGGCTTGCTGCTAGGCTAAGTCCTGGCACTCGGATACACTTGCCGTCACGTGATTGTCTGAGCCAAGTCTGTGAATGTCCTGGAAGGAAATCTTCTGGGCCCTGTGCTACCTCTTTTATCTGGAGAAACTACGGTCGTTCATTAGTTGAAAGTTCCGCAGGTGTTCGAGGCCACATGGGGTTACCCTGCCCTACCAGTTCCTGATTGGCTGATCGAGGTGGAGGATGAGTAACAATGCTCTCTGACATTAGGGTTGTAAACAACCTGGGATGAGACTCTCCCTTGGAATCTCCCAGACAGTAAGGCGCCAGAGATGACCATTTATTAGGGTGGCCAGAGAATCTCAGCCTTGGGAGTTGTTCCTTATCAGGAAACTCTATCACATAGAAAAACACCTTAAATCTGAACCAAATGAAATGGCCTCTCTGTGTCCAGAACCACTAAGATGAGGGACAGAGAAACTGGCAAGGGAGCAGCAAACGTAATTCCTGCATTACTAATAAGCCTTGCTGCTACATACTGTAAATGTAGTAACTTGTGTGTTGTATGTTTTGTTGTGTGTAGTGTGGTTTGTGTCTTCTCATTGTTAATAAACATTTGTTTAACGAAGTGTGCCTGGATTATTACTCCTTCCTCCAAAGCTGTGCCAGAGAACAAAGAATTCACATGCCTCTAATTATACCTACTGCTCAGGTACAATATATTCTGGAGAAATCACTTACAAGCTGGAGGATATGAATAACTATTTTACTTATTTACTAAACCGCTCAGTCATTTCCTGATTTCCACCAGTTTCGTAACTCTCCATTTTTAACAATATGACAAAGTGTTACATAAAAAATCTCCTTTTTGTAGTTTAGTTTATTATCTAAGACACGTGTAAGAACTGTCATTTCATTTTGACTGAGCATTTTTATATTTATCATTAGGTCTGTTTAGTTGCTTTTTTTGCAAATGCAAAATTAAGATATTTTGGTTAAAGTGATTTGCCACAAAGTGATTTTTGTTTTGGATTATTTATGAAATTGTTCTCCATTTGCTTGTATAGTAAAGTCTAGATCACACAGGTTAATTACAACGGTAATTATATTAATTATTATTGGTGCTTAGACAAAATATAAAAAGATATTTATAATAAAATACTATTCTAGAGCCTAGGAAAAAAGCACTGTATCAGACACTGATTTAAAAAAAAATCCTTTATAATAGTTTCTATATTTTGTCTCATCTAAAAGAAAGAGTACACAGGGACAAACTAGAGACATCCTGACAAGTTTAAATCATCTAGCCCTTTCAGAGAGTTGTATCTAAAGAATATCTCTGGGAGGCCAGAGGGGTAAGAGAAAGGAATAAGGTTAAGAATCAGGGTTATTTCTCCAATAGTTGTGTGATGTCAGTTTCTCCTAAAGCATGTATAGTATCTCTGACATGACTGATTATAATTTATACCTTTGGTGACTCATCATAAAGCTGAGTGTATTCCTATTAAACACAAGAAACCAAAAGTGTTTGCCTCCCTAATTATCAAGTTCTGATCTTAATTTTCTCTCCTACGGACCATTTTTTGCATGTTTGTCATAGTATGATCTCCACTCTCTCCTTACTGTCTATATTAGATCCCTGATGCTGCCTCTATCTGTAGAAAGATATAGTGGTGCAGCACCTTATTTTTATCAAGCTGTTTTCTAACCTGGCCATTCTCCAACCTTCACAGAACTATTATTTTAAATGGGAAAGGGAATGGTGTGATCTTAATGTCCCAAAACTGTACACCTGTACTCTTATTCTACATGTGTTGGTAACAGTTATTCTTTTATTTGTACAGTATTGTCTAAAATATATTATTTATACTTTTATCTGTAAACTAAAGTTATATTTTAAAGATTACAGAGGTATCTCTGTGATACCTCACATACATTTGGGGTTTATACAGGGTCATTCCTAGGGCTGGGCAAATTGAAGCCCATGACTTAATGCGACCACCCTTTTGTGGGACTGTAGAAATAGGTGATAAATAGACTATTAATAATCAATTATCAGAAATTGAAATCATTATTTGATAATAGCATAATACTGTATATTAGAATGAACCAGTCACACAGATGTTTAGAAATACGATTTACTGTACATTAGTATTGTACATAACAAAATGAAAACAAGGCAAATAATAAGATGGCTTGGAATAGTATTTGAATATGTGGTTTTCAGTTCTGGCTATTATAATGTAATAGTGCTCAATTAATATATATAT